ATGGAAACAAACATAGACAACCACAAATTACACCCAACCATTCTCCCAGCCCGGGAGAAATAAATGTATGCCATACACATATTTCTCCCGGGCTGGGAATCGAATCCAGAATCTCTATGTGGCAATCCATCATGCATCAGGCAGTTTTTTTATTACGTTACGTTGCATTGATAACAATTAAATATGATATTACAACGTTCTACCAGATTGTAATCCTCCTTGACATTATCATTGTAAAGTAAAAAGAAAGATCTACCGTTCATAATTTGCTAATAAGTATCATATAGAGACTACCAAAGAGGATAGCCACCGTCTTTAGACACCAGACACAGTATCTACTTTGTAGACAAAATCCATGATAGTCACCCGTTCAATGCGGGTTAGGACATCACATTTTTTCCAAGAGTTGTAAACTTTCTGTCATGCAGGTATCATCACAATGTTTTTATTCACCGTTAGCGCGTTCGTGCACAGCATCCGATTCGTATTTCTTCTGAAACGGAGACTATACAAATCTAGAAAACGGTCCGCGTTTTCCACTTCGGATGTCGCTTGTGTACTAAGTCCGATTTAATCTGAGAACATACGAGTATCACTTATACACCTAGAGATAAAATGATCCCTGTGACATTTCGGACCGTCATTTCTCAGATTCGGAACTAATATGAATCGGACGTAGTATGCAAACGTTCTTAGCGAGAGTGTTGCTACTAAATATTCACAAATGTATATAATTTTGAAATCAAAGTCATGTCATGTCCCCACAGTGATTTGAATCGTCAACCTTGCAATTGAGAAACAATCATTCTCCCACTGGGCTACCATCGCTATATACCATGAACATGCGCGCATGCATCTAGTGTTAGTCAATTTAGACGCTTCGCAATAATTAATACTGACACAAATGACGATCAGAAGAATGCGAATCCTTGGTATAATAAAGCCACAAGTGATCATATGTAATAACAACATAACAAATAATAATAAGGCACACACTAGCCCCGCACTAGGGAAACCCTGTATCACGGGACACACACATATAGACAAACACAAATTACACCCAAACTCAGGAGAGAAATAAATGTAGGCCATACAAATATTTCTCCCTGTCCGGGAATCGAAACCGGGACCTCTGCATGGTAACCGTTCGGCCACTGAGGCAGTTACGTCAAAAGTACTTTCATCACATGAAAGTCATAAAAATAATACAAACTTCATAATTAATTGTAACGTATATGGGAAATTCTACACCTCTCCTATTTAAAAAAGTTATCAACTAATTTCGTTACTCGAATCTTTACATCTCTGCAGTTTTCATTTTTTCTATGTGGCCTTTTAACACCAATGGTGCGAATTGTTAAATATATTTAAGTTAAAATAAAAAGATAAAATAGTACGCGATAATAATATAACGTTAAACCTGTTTTCAACGACTTCTGGTGTCGATTGTACAGAGCCGATTGCCCGTGTCCGAGATATGCATTGGCACATACCTAAAATGTGTGTTACTGTTCCACTACATCTTATTTAGATTTCCGCGTAGAGATTTTTTCAGTTATACATATATATGTACATATATTTTATTTACTTAGAAATTTAATCACAATACTGCTTAACCCAAGTAAAAAAGCTTTAAAAAGTGAAGGGAGAACGCCTGACGCCTTACTTTACTACCCAATATTGTTGTGTTACACAAGGAGTGGTATTAATACCACTACTTATTATTTCAATACATGATTCGCTACTGAATACTGTAGTCCAGAAAGTAATTTTATAAGCTATAAAACAAGGCTTACATTTTACTAGAAGTGTTCAAATAGAAAAGTTTAGCGAGACACGTATTTTTGTAGATTTTGGAAGCGTTCTTTAAGGGAGAATAATTATGCCAAAATTCTTTAAATTATACGATAAAATAATTTTGTACCCTGTTCTATCAAAAGCATTTGAGTAAGCTGTAATCCTTTCCAAAATTTTCTTTAAATAAATCGTTTCAAGCAGATTAATATATTATATTAAGATAAATTGCTAATAGGTTCATAAAACTCACTTTAATTAACGGTGGTGAGTAAAATAACTTGAGCATTCATGCTATGATTTCACTTTCCAGTGAAATCGTATCTAAATTTCAGTTTAAGTACTTCAAAGCCTTGATAAGTTACGAAACATAATCAAAGTGAGATCACAAAGGGCTTTGAAAACTATACGCCATATAATAATTGAAGTAAGGTTGTACTTAAAGGTCGAAATTTTAAAATCGAATGACTTAGTTTACATTGTTATATGGAATACCATGATAAGTAGTTAACGACATATGCAATAAAAGAAGAATCATGAAAATTGTTACCAAACTTGACGGGGTTATGAAGTGAGTTATATTTAAAAAAATATGATGGAATCGAGAACTTCTTCTTTAAAAGTCCAAGTCTGCAAACGTAGGCTAGTTTGGTAAACTACACTGAAAAAAAAAAAAAAATTAAAATGAACAAGATGTTGTTAGATCACAATGTTGTTTCCATCTGAGACTATGAAGAACCTACAATTATTGCAGCGACAAGAACAATGATTACAGCAACAATTTCAATAAATGAATTGAATCATGTTGTGATTGATTCATTTAAAAATTCGCCAATTAAACTAAAATCCACTTGATTGATTTTTTTTGTGTGGCCCAAGGAGTGCTTCCTGGGGAACACGGTCCGCGTGGTAGGAAATTATATGTGTTTAGTGGAAGATCTTACAATAGCATTTGATATACATGTATGTCAGGAGAACGTTTGTTGTTTAATGTCGCTGTAGCGATTAAGCAGAATTATATCTTCATTAGCACACAAAGCCCGTTACACCTACACGTGCATGTTTTTCGCGTGATTAACGGGCACTCGGTCTTAAAGTTCTATTTTCCGCTTGAGTAAGGTACTATTTTGTTTTTGCATGGTACGTATAACGGTGTACGTCAGCCTTGAATTCAATCCTATGCCGGTATAATATGGTTTAAATTACACAGTGCAAGCGCAGTGTGCTATTTTTTTGGGTATTGTTTTTAAGTTTGGTTTTGTGTTCTAGCGTTAGTTGGTTGGCTATTGAAATTATTTTGCAATAATTTAAGATGACATAAAAGTAGTTTATACAGGATAATTTGTAAAGGCTGGTGTCTAAATTAGGCCGTCATCCGGTCCTCCACCTCCAGAATATCTGATCAGCAATTTATAAGTCTTTGGAAACAATTATATAAAATAGGGAGAAAGAAGAAATTTGTTATAAAAGTGTGTGCATACGTGTAGTCAGTAAGAACAATTAGTTATTTAAAATTCAGTAACAAACTTGTCAGATTTTAGAACTTAATCTTTTGTAACAACTATAATAACGGAATCAGTGGAGTCCCCAATGGGAAAACGGTTAATTGATAGTTCAATGGTTAGAGTACCTGTGGAGAGATATGACCTTTAGTTAGAAACTAAATTATGTACATTTATCTACGTTTAGTACCAACATTACTTGCTAACGGCGAAGGATAATATCGTGATGAAATATAGTATGTCGCATTGGCATATAGACCGGTTACACATGGCGATTTTAGCAGGACGTTTATAGCGATTCAGTCTCTAATTATCTACTTTTATACACACGCGCTACTTAATACAACCGCGATGCAAATTAATATGTTCCAATTTATTTTCATTTCCATTATAAATTAATAATAAATATAACTTAATAAAAATTCATATTGTTACAATAAAATAATTTGTAAAACAATGTAGCGTAAATTGGAATGTTTCTTTGTAAAATTAAAAATAGCGCATTTCATTAATAACTTTTGCAACTATAGTGAAAAAATAGGGTGGTTTGCATTAATATTAGACATAACTGGTGGATGACTATACCACCTCAGTCAACCGCGACCATGGGACCAGTAAAGGGCACGAAGCGTTGGTTTGTTTGAAAAAACAAATATGCGCGATTTAAATCCCGAAAAATACTTTCACTTCCTAATTGCACTTTTTTAATGATTCAACATAAGCGACTACATCAGTGCAACCGCCTATAAAACTAGTCTTGTGATGCAAGCGCAAGTTATGAAACTTTTATACAAACGCGCGTTTGTATAAAAAGTTGCCGTATGTACTCGGTCATAATAGCGGGCTTTACACAGAGACTCTATCGCGCGTGATACAACAATCGTGCGCGATTGAGCGCGCGTGTAAAGACGTTGGAGGGAAAAGGAAAAGACGCGCGCCATCGCGGACTACAACACGCGCCAGTTTCACGCGGTCTATCCTGCGCTATTAGCCTTTACAGGAACGCTCCTTCCGTTGTTACAAAAACGAACAAAGGCAATCGTTAACGAAGGGATGTTAGCTTAAAAAAATCCAAACAGGTAATCGCGGACGTTTGCTTTGATCACGCAAAAGAGTGATTGTTTAAAGTGGGTTTGATAAAGAAGTTGCTAATATCTGTAAAATGCAATGTCACTCTATCTATGTTTACTACTATTAAACTATTATGGACGCATTTAATGTTATTGATTATTGTTGTTGTTTATTTGCTGTATTGCAACTATAAAGAAATTAATTACGAATTGTAAAGTAAATGACATTTACTCCGCAATTTCAATACAACGTTAGAATATGTGTAACAATAACAAACCCGTAATTTCACCAGCACCCTTCAAGATCAGAAATAGGGCGAACGATTTTAAAAGGAACTCTAATCCTACTTGTTACTATTAGTTTACTTTAGAACCAATCAAAAAGTTTATTTCCTAAATTACAAAACCGGCCATCGAACTACCTCATCGTGTAAAGTACAAATTAGATATAAAAAGAATACTGACTCATTTTCGGGAATTGATCGTGACTAGTACCTATGTAAGTTATACAATTGACAGTTCATTATGCTATGTACAATTTCGTTACAAATCTATTCGTTCTGAACGGTTCAGTATTTTTTACTATAACGTGTTGTAACATTGTCAATGTTTATACTTCTTGTTTTGCTTTCAGTGCCCCTACGAGTTGCAAAAGGTGCTGCTGCCTGACTTGGAAGAATCGTGGATAGTGAACACAGCCAGACGAACCTCGTGGCGAGTGTACACAACACAGGACGACCTGTACGTCAGTGCTAGGAATACCACGTAAGTAATCCAGCAAAATGAGGATCACTGATAATAATAATAACGCGCACACTTATAGCCCCGCACTAGGGAAACCCTATATCGCGGGTGCCATGTACACACACATAGACAACCTAGTAGCAGTAGAGCTCCTTGTGAAAGAGTTCGTCCAGGGAAGTACTCTCACCCTACCTATGTCTGCCGCCAAGCAGTAATATAACCATTACTGCGTTCCGGTTTTGAAGATACTGGTGAAATTACAGGTACATAAGGCTTGTGAATTTCTGTCTCAGGATTATGGGCGCAGTGTCACTGCCCCTCAGATCTTCACGATTTAAAGCTCTGAGTGGTATTGTTATGGACAGGCGCACGACTTTTTCGACCCATCACTTGGTTTTATAAAAAAACACAAATTAGTTCATAAGTTTTGAAGTCGGCTAAAAAGACATTCATTTCTTCCAGGAGGGGTTGCAAAATGTCATGGTACATTGCGTGTATTTGTTCCCAGAGGTTTGCTATGCCAGATGCGGCCTGAAATGGGACAGTTCGGCGTATACCGACTCAATGTCTCCGGTGAAGAATGCCACGTACACACATCCAAGGAACCTGTCAACATTTATTTGCGTAAGTTATCTATTCTATTTCCCAAATGAGGTCTGAAGGATGAAAAGGAAACAATATTTCAAATTCGTACATCAAAAGTGCTGTTATGACATGAAAGTCATAGGCCTTTTCAGGAGTGTACTACGTCAGTGGGAGAGAGGCGTGATGGCATGTATATAAAAACCACTTACCTACTAAAGAAAGCACTTCAAAAACGAAGACACTTTTGTTCTCGACTCTCTGTTTAAAATGTCTAGATAGAGTCGTTTAATCAATTGTCCTATTTATCTAGACCCTTGACACACAAAGCAATCTTGCCGCTGTCCTCAAATTGATACAGATGATCTTTATCGTTCTTAAAATGTTTTCTTTAGGCATCTGCTTAAAATTTGGGTAATAAATTGCTCTGGTAATTAATATTACTATCTTACAATAGCCACCCTCGCAGTATACATTTATTTATTTATTATATCGACAACAAATCAGATAACAATAAAATTAATAATAATAGGCCTTGGGAGAGGCGGGAGTCTAAAATATATAATAATAACGCGCACACATTCATAGCCCCGCACTAGGCAAACCCTGTATCGCGGGTGCCATGGAGACACACATAGACAACCAACACATTACACAACAAATTACACCCAAATTCACGAGAAAAATAAATGTATGCCATACACATATTTCTCCCGGCCTGGGAATCGAATCCAGAATCTCTATGTGGCAATCCATCATGCATCAGGCAATTTTTTTTATTACGTTACGTTGCATTGATAACAATTAAATATGATATTACAACGTTCTATACCAGATTGTAATCCTCCTTGACATTATCATTGTAAAGTAAAAAAAAGATCTACTGTTCATAATTTGCTAATAAGTATCATATAGAGATTACCAAAGAGGATAGCCAACGTCTTTAAAGACAACAGACACAGTATCTACTTTGTAGACAAAAATCCATGATAGTCACCCGTTTAGGGAGTCTTAATTCTCGATCGATGATATGGGAAATAAGTATTGTAAAAGATAAATGTGTACAAATATTTATTTACAAAGAGCATCTTCTAGAGTTTCTTGCTCATTCTTCTATGAGCAATCTGCCTTATGAATGAGTAGTAGAATTTAATCAATATGTCGATTCCATGTCGCAAACCAGTAAGCCATGAAACCAAAATGTGATGCACTTTGGTGACATGATTTATTGGGTTGCGATCGCTCACCGTATTGTACTGGCAGAAAACCAGTCTGGAATAGTGATCGGAAACAAGCTCATCACCTCTTAAACACATACACCCACACACACACGCACATTCGTACACAAAATTACATAGATATATTTATCACAATTTACATATTACAATGTATCCAACTTGTTATATAATTATTACTTAGAGTACTTTTTATCGAGACTTTTAATAATAGATTCTTTCACTTTATTTTTTTGTATTAAATTTTTAATTTATATTTTTCTCATGAAATAGACTTAAGCCTTGTCAAAATTTGGGAGAGGGCACTGGCTTCTGTCACACAGGTTATACCTAGCTCAGGAGTCAGGGACTTCATCAATATGTTGTAATCTATTTTGTGACAATAAATATTATTATTATTATTAAATATTATTATTATTATTAAAGCAACAAATTGTACCAATATCTATCGGCAATGAGTTCGGGTTCAGACAATACAAATTTAATATCACCTCTCTAGGCGCAACTGAACCCGGAATTGGATGCGACTCAAATTGAATTATTTTTGACAAGCAACCAGTCCCGGGATAACACGGTACTCGCATTTGGGCTCATTCGGGGTTCGTTGCAACTTTAAACCGACATTGGGTTCAGATGCTACAAACTCCGCTGTTTGAGTTTATCTATCTATCTATAATTTGCTTATCTACAAACACTTTGCACATTTGTGCGCGTCACGAGCCTTCCCTATCTCGAAGGCAAAAGAATGAGATGAAAATCTACCTCAGTCTTTTGATAAAAAAAATAATAATTTTTTATTTCATATCAAAAACAATCCATATTTGTTAATATACAATTATAATTGTTATTGGCCTAGTGTTAGTAGTACTGAATATTTAATGAGTGTGTAGGCTTAGCCAGTATTTCATAACTGGACTTGGAGAATTTAAGTTATAATTTGCACCCTTGGTGTAATAAGTCCATCTGCAAAATTACAACTTATCAGGAGAGAAGATTTAAGATTCTACGAGAGACATTAATCGGTATCTTTTCATGCTCAATAACGAGACTTACATACAATTTCACACGGAGAAGTACATATTTTGTTTCAAATAGGTCGTCTTTCATGTGACAAAAGGGCTTTGATTCATCAACACAGGTTACAAGTATTTGTTAGGGCACTTGCACACGGGTGTTACAACTCAAGAAAGATGCAAAGACAAGAGCTGTAATAGTATAAAAAGAGAGATTTAATTTTACAATAGTGTAATAATCGCAAAATGTAATAGAAAGAGAGAAAATGGCGAAAATACGGCGTAACTAATACCAGAGCAGTGTTCGGCACCATGACATTAAATTGCTGTTGATTCAGTGAAAGTAAGACCACGACGTGACTTGTGTCGGAGTAATTACAATCCATTAATAAAACTAATTGGATTATTTGGAATCCAACGTTAACGTGTTACGAATAATGCACTAATTAATGAAAAATATTCGAAATAATTTTCATTTTGCTTAGTGAAGTGCAAAGATCGACCATGAATTCCCTGCCTGCAGGGATTTGTTCTCTGAACGGTATAACTTGGGTCTTTTCAAGGCGAAAGTGCATAGGCATTATTTACATGTGCAGGCGCTATCGTGTCGACCACTTCGTTATTTTCCGTTAGGTGAGATGGACGTCAAATACGCACTTATTTTTTAATAATAAAAAGAACTCGTGCAAGTATTGTTTTCAATAAATTGTATTATATAATCATAAATAACGAAAGCTCCTCCAGGGAAGTGCAGAACTGGTTGACGACTACCATCTCAGACAGCCGTGACCATGGCACGCGTAAAGGGCGCGATACATTGGAAAAAAACAAATCCGAAAAAAAATTGTTTCATTTCCAATTGGTTCATTATCAACCCTTTTATACGTCCCACTGCTGGGCACGGGTCTCCTCTCAGGCGAGGGTTTAGGCAATAGTCCGCCATTCTGGTCCAATGCGGGTTGGGGACTTCCAATTGATGGAAATTAAAAGCAATATTGTGTATTGTGTGTCAAAAGGAAGAAAATCATTAAGTAATCATCTAGGCAAAGGATGGTAACCAACGCACCGACGTCCCACTGATCTAGCCAATTGCGTAGTGACGAAAGAGAGTCAGTCTTTTAAGGCCTTTTAAAAACCTCGACTAATTTTTTACACCTCACTTTTTACCCTCAAGTAAGATTAAAATTGAACACTAATTCGAGTCGAAGTCTTTTGACCCTAGGAAGCTTAGAAGAGTTGTAGAACTAAAACGTCTGGCGCCTTATAGCCTCGTGGCGTCGCGAGTCATTCATGAGCCGTATGGCATGATTTTATTTCTACCCACAAGATATTTATCTTATGATTGATGGATAACGTTAACGTAGTTTTGTTCACAGAAGTCAGTTAATTATGACCAATTCAAGAATTTGTTTATTTGGAAATTATTTGTTTCTTTATTATGACCATAATGATGAATGAAACATACTATTTATGAACGTATCAAGTTGAGGTCCACAGTCTCAGCCTACCCTAATATTTGTTCTATGTATTACAGATAAATTGTATCTCACTGCTGTGCACGGGTTTCTAAAGAAGTTTAAACAAAAGTACCAGGAGTTGATATAAGAAAAGTGGTTACAGACCTATATTACACAAAATAAAAAAAACAACACGTTAGAACTGGATTTCCATAGGCTTTTAAATATTGGTTGTATTTCAATTTTTTAATTTATTCGCAGAAAAAGTATTGTATGCAATCATTACATATTTAGGTCTTAAAATGTCGTACCTATTGCATAAACCACTCTTTGAATCCTAATTTTTATTATAGCGTGATTATTTACTAAACACTACGTCATTTTTATTTATAAACTTCGGGTTTAATAAGACATAAAATAGGTATAAGTCCATTGCAAAGAACTCGAGTCGTTTAAGTCTTTTAGTATAACGACTGAGTCTCTTTCATCACTACAATTGCGTGAATTGCTTGATCCATTATGAACGACTCTTGCGTATAAGGACAAATGTTTGGTGTCGCAGTTTAAATTCAAATAATCTTTATTTCATATCGAGTTCTTAGGTTTTCGCGATTGTTACACATAGGAATGAAACTATTTTTCCGGATTTAAATCGCGTATATTTGTTTTTTCAAACAAACCGACGTTTCGCAGTTAAGCAGACATAAGACTGCAGTACTAATTAATATGTTTTAATTTATTCTAATTTCCGTTATTAATTAATAATAAATTGAACTTAATAAAAATTCATTCAATAAAATAATTTGTAAAACTTAATGTAGCGTAAATTGGAATGTTTTCTTTGTAAAATTAAAAATAAGGTATTTAATTAATAACTATTGTAACTATAGTGAAAAAATAGGGTGGTTTGCATCAATATTAGACATAACTGGTTGAAGACTGTACCACCTCAGTCAACCGTGACCATGGGACCTGTAAAGGGCCCGAAACGTCGGTTTGTTTGAAAAAACAAATATACGCGATTTAAATCCGGAAAAATAGTTTCATTCCTTTATTTCATAGATAAGAAAATTACACTTGATATCCTTACATTAATTAAACTCCATTGCTCATTCGTAAGACAGATTCCCTTGAGAAGAATGAGTAGGTAACTTTTTATAAGCGTGCTGGTGAAAATTACAGACACATGGGACTTGTCAACTTATGTCTCAGGGTGACGGGCCCAGTGGCAGTGCCCCTAAGATCTTTGCGATTTAAAACTCTGAGTGGCACTGCAACTGTTATGGACAGGCGTGTCGCTTACCATCAGGCGCACGACTGTTCGCCCCGACACTTAGTATTATAAAAAAAAATAATTGTACACACTTATTTCAAATATCATAGATGAGACAACCTGTAAAGCAAATAAATGGGTCACTGCACTGTTTTTTGTCATGTAAGTATATTACAAGGTTATTTTATTTACCTTTAGTGAAAAGTTTCTTTCGAAGTGTAATTTTAAACCTCGTAAATGGCAAATTTTGAATATCAACCGGAATCTTATTAAACAAATTTGTGACTTTAAGAAAAAACGACTGTCAAGAATGTATAAACATAACATTTAGATGAAGAAGCTCCTTGTGTAACAGTTCGTCCAGGGCAGTACTGCCACCTGGCCTGCCGCCAAGCCATAATGTGAGCATGACTGCGTTCCGGTTTTGAAAAGTAAGGATGCTAGTGAAATTACAGGCATATGTGTCTTGAATGGCCACCAGGCGCACGACTTGATCGTCCCTTCACTAGGTCTCATAAAAAAAAATACAATTTTTTGTTAACAACATTCTCGTTTGTTGCAATGTTTGCGAGTTTTCCAGTAATTCTCATTAAGCTGACTATATTGCTTCTAAGAAACTTTATTGTTATTATACATATCAATCATGATTTACTTCGGTAATCGGATCGTATTTCTAACATACAATTACTGTAAAATATCATAAATATCTTATTTTAACAAAGTATGTTCCTATTTTTAGTCGAAACTTATAGTTTATTTTTTACTGTTTATTACCTTCTGAAAAGTCAAGGGGCTCGTTTGTCTACGATTTAAAATTGTGGAAATTATTTCAGTAATCAGTAAGTACGCTTATGTTACGAGAGTATGACGTAAAACTGTAATTATATGAATTAGTTCTGATTAATTAAGCCTTACTTTGTATTCCATTTCTTGACTTCAGACATTGATTTGACTATAACAATTGTATGCACTTTTATAATAACAGGCTATCAAAAAAACATTTAAATTAATACACGGTAATAATTTAAATTTAAAAACTAACAACATTAAAAGGCAAGAATTGATCAAGGCCATTTTGAATATCATGACAATGTAAAGGTCAGCATTAGGTCGTCACCACACTTCTTCACAAGAAAAATCTATGCGCCGGACCACCCCGACGCGAAACGCACAACATCTTTTTCGTTCTTGTTACATAGTTATAAAGAAAGAATGAAAGAAACATTTATTCTGCAACACGAACATTTACACTGAAATGGATACAACTCAGCATATTATGTCACAGCTCCACTGCTGTAACGTTGGTTTTCAGTTGGAGCTACAGAAGAAGATTGCACGAAAGTATTTACTAATGTTAGTTAACATTAAAAAATGTCAAAATATATCTTAAAATTAAACTAAATATAAGTAGGAAAATAATTACTATAATCATAGGAGATTATTGCTTATATTGTATTGTTTTTATTAAATGAAATACTGCACTTCTTAGACTTTTTCAGTTAGTTACCTAGCCGCTTAGTTGGAGCTCTAGATAGTGCTGTTTTATCTTGACTCTAAAATATTGAATGGATGACTGGTTGTGCAAGGGAGGGGGATATTATTCCATATTTTAGCTGCCATATATTTAAAACTACCCTTACAGGCAGATGCGTTATGAGCTGAGGCTATGAGAATAACATTAGAAATAAGGTGAGATAATTTTAGTGTTCTAGAGGATCACAAAAAATGTTTTTTCTGACTAGCTTAATGCGATTCCTCGTTGATGAGTGCGGTAACTACCTTAATGCTGTGGTTAGCTATGACGCTGATATACTGCCAGGACTCTGTTAAGAGAGACACATATTAATTACACTTTCGATAGAGATTGTGTCGTTGACCATACATCAAAAAGAACAAGTCCCAAAAAGCCATTCGGTCGTTGAAGATTCTGCTGTTATTCACACTCATTTCTATATCAATTACTACAAAAGGCCTCGACTCGGAAGTAACTGGTGGCCATTTTAGAGGTTCTTGGTCACTCGATGATGGTGTTGGGTTTCTGGAAAGAAAATTTTATATTTCAGTCAATTGGGGGTACACGAAAAGAGGCTCTCCGCACGACGTTCCAATCCATTTTGAACAAAAAGTAAACAAACCTGTTTAGTTAAAATTCTAAAGCAATCACCCAATAAATCGAATAATTAACACTTTCACGTATATTTCGAAGATTTCGACTTGATATATCATCACTTTTTGCAACAATATTCATTTGAATAGCATTGTAAAATCGCATTTGAAAAATGGTAGTCCAAAAGTGAGGTTATTATTCATCTATACTTCTATTAGTTGCCTATGGTGGTATAGTGCTGTTCGAAAAAAACATTCGGTTCAACCAATTAAAGTTTACTAATCGATTAATTAAATCGAGCATTTCGATCGCAATCGAACGAGTATCTAAGTATAAGGATTTGAAGGAGGATTTAGATTGAAATTTTAAATATGCTTATGTAAGGAAAATCGCTAGTATGACTCTATTGAGCAAATCGATTAATTCAATTAATTGATCGATTTGTAGTTGGCGTTACAATTGACCATCACTAAACCGTCTATGGTGGGTCAGTGATTTGTTTGTTTACTTTTTGTTCAAAATGGATTGAAACGAAGTATACCATACCTTTGCTGTACGTCTGGCGCACCCTGGCAAATTATTTCACTACAGTGGCAAGCATTATAGTGTAAGCCATCGATACGATAAAAAGAGTTAATTGTCAATGCACTTAACATAATTTTTAGGTTATGTAAATAACTTACCCATGTTTTACAAAATTTGCCCACAATTTTGTTATATTCTGCGAAACGAGATGACTGGCTGGATCAGCAAAATTTTCCACACCATCGAACAAATATGGAATTTCATCGGAGTGTCCCGCATCTTTTGCTGTCTTGTCGCCAACATAACTAAATACGTATTCGTAAATCGCACTAGGATTTGCTTTCAAAAGACTATCAATCGTTCGTTGCGTTGGATGGTTAAACCTAAAGTCCGATTCAAAGTTTCCTACTTCGTCCAATACATTAATATCCAGTTTTGCATCTCCTATGTAGAAACGTCTTACAATGTTAGCAACATCTTCCACAGATTCGTTTTCATCGAAATCAAAGTTTTTATTTATTTTGTTATAAAACGGGTCTGTTGAATCATCAGGCTCATATGGATCAAATCCTGCTATTTCTTTACTATTATGACCAAGTAAAATGGGTGTACTTCGTATTTTCTTCTCGTTTGTAGCCATATAAGGACTAGTGCTCAGAAAATTTTCGATACCACTGTATGATTTTTCTGCGCATGGTCCTAAAATCGTTTTGGTAGCTGTAACAGCCTCAGTAACTAATTCGAATGAAGTGTTAGCCAAGAAAGTTAATGCATCTTCAGTGTTTGTTGTATTATTGCCAATGTAATTTGCAAGTTTTATTGCAATTTCATAATCCTTATTTAACATGTAGGAATTTGGAGTGCCACTTTGAGCTATAACTTTATCGAATAGTTTTGTTTTTGATGAGAACAAATGTAATAAGGCTGATATAGATCCAGAGCCTTGACCGGCTACAGTTACTTTGTAAGGGTTACCACCGAAAGCTGCGATATTGTTTCTTATCCAACGCAGAGCTTCGTGCTGATCTTTGAGTCCTTGATTTCCAGGAACTGCAGGGATGTCGAGACATAGAAAACCATAGGGCCCTAAGCGATAGTTTATAGTGACCACTATTATGTCATGTTTGAGGAGACTCTTTGGTTGGTATTCCCCTGCTGATCCCCCGCTAAAGTTTCCTCCATGTATCCAGACAAGTACGGGCAAGGGATTTCTCGAACCAGCTTGGGATGGAACATAAATGTTTAAACGTAAGCAGTCTAGCGTTTCATTACGTATTTGTGATATCATTCTTGGAATATAGTCATAGCTTTGTGGACATATTATAGAGCCATCTATAGCGTTAAAAATGCCGCTGAATGCAGGTGCAGGTTCTGATGCCTGAAAAACAAGTAACAGCTTAAACCACTATAAAATAACATATAGGAGCAATATAGCTCCATTTTAAAGAGTTTGTCCAGGAAATTGCTGTCATCAGATATATTACTACTGCGTACCGGAAATATAGGGTTGCTGGTGATAGAACTACAGGCACATGGGACATGTTAACTTTACTCTTAACTCATGAGACTTGTTTCTTCTTGTCACCTAATAACAAAAAATATAATCTCAGTACAGAGTACTAAAAAAACCGACCTCAAAAGTACGTGGAATTACGTCTACTTGCTAAGTTTCATTGAAATATCCCCTAGTTCGCCACTATACAATACTTGATACTGGAGATAATAAAAATAGGTTCTCACTACGACACTATTCAAATATATCGAGAGAAAAACGCCTTGAATTGGAGAAATAGCAAAATCAACTAAATAATTGCTAAAAGTAATTGCTCCTAAATTAAAATTAGGCGCTATTTATAAAAATGAATCTTCATGCGTGAACAGCCACCCTTTGAGGTGGATGATTTTCTTCAAAATGAAATGGGACCACTGTGGAAATACCCCCTTTCCAACAAAAAAAGAATCATGAAAATCGGTTCACAAATACCGGAGTTATCGCGTAACATACATACAAAAAAAAAGAACATACAGTCGAATTGAGAACCTCCTCCTTTTTTGAAGTCGGTTAAAAATAAATAACTTTAAACTATAAGTGAAATTAGCACTGTAAACTTACTCCAAAAGGATTATCCAAATTGACACTGGCGTACGGTATACCCAAAAAGGTAGAGTACGAACCGTCACTAGATTTTTGTCCAAAAATTAAACCTTGTTGAATTATCACAAGAGGATCTACTCTTGGTTCTATACTGCATACGCAAGTTACAGATATTAATGCCCATAATAATTGAATACACCTCATTTTTATTATTGATTTAAACGGATTGTTTGTTGACTCGATGCCAAACCAACAATGTTCTGATCATAATGGATCCAGAGATATGGTTTTGTTATCTGAGTACACTTCAGAGGGATCAATTTTCATCTCCGTATCAGGTATATAGATATGACGTTAGTAGTTAAATGTATAAGTTCTTATGTTTTTTGAATGAAGACGTACTTTTATAATAACGTGCACAATACCGTGCATATAGCGTGACCGGTTCAATTTAATTAAATTCATTTATTAGTTTAAATGTGGTAATTATAATACTTGTTGGCAATGTTTACAGAATGCTGTTTCACACGGTTAACCATTTGTGACATGCAATATATAAACGAGAGTACATGCAAAAATATATCAAAATTATAAAGTCATGTCCCTAACCCTAATATAATATCTGTACCTATATACCATTATAATTACAAACATTCATACAAATAAATCATTTATACATTATACTGTGTCATATAAATCCTTTTCGGAAAATTTTTGTGTTTTTACGACTGCGCTCCGATTGGCCAGTCCGAATTCGAAATAATTGACGGGTGTCGTCAATGTGTGTTGTCAATTGTTTCACTTCAAATCGACCAGTTAACTTGAGCTTTGCTACAATGGACGAAAATTGAAAAATTACATATTTAATATTTAATTACCGATGAAATGTGTTTTCATCTGTTTTGTGATTACCTAGATGTTTTGCTGATGTGTGTTTTGCACACCACCTAATGGGACAGCCCTTCATTGTTAGAGATTATTATCTTTATTACAATAAATACAGAATATTTTTGGAATGTACGGAGACGTACACACAGGTCAGTTGTTGGCGCTGTACTATTTCAGCCTTCTAATTTGTAATTTCAGTGCATACGAGAGTTGATACTTTAAAAGTGCCCGAGGTTTTTGCCCTTATTTCGTCTCTATATCTGGTTATATACACGATGTAAGGAAACGATGATTTTACGAGCTTTCATCTAAGTATCCCAGCCAGGTGGAAGTACCGGAGTGCCACTCATAGGTCATATGATTCGATACAAAGTAATTTCGTTTTACAACATAAATGGTAACTTCGACAGAGCGGTTTATTTTGATCCCAACGCCATCGAGCGGCAAAGCGAGGTTACTAATATTTCTTATACGGACAACGGCACTTCAGACTACACATTTTTGTTCGAAAATCGCCTCCAGTGCAACGGAACAAGATACGTCAATGTATTGGCGTGTGTACATGGTGTTACAAGTTGTTGATATTATATATTTCATTTACACTATAATATATTTTTTTCTTTCACCATTATAAATTGAATTTATAGTATGTTACATTGTAATAACTGTAAGTGAACCAATAAACTATTAAAAAAAACAGTGGATTGAAAATGAACTCATGTTTTCGGATTTTTTTTTTATGATATCTAGTGACGGCACGAACAAGTCGTGCGCCTGATGGTAAGCTACACGCCTGTCCACAACAGTTGCAGTGCCTCTCAGAGCTTTAAATCGCAAAGATCTGAGGTACACTGACTCTGAGCCCGTCACCCTGAGACATAAGTAGACAAGTCCCATGTGCCTGTAAACCGGGAAAAATATTTGTATGGCCCATTGACTTACAAATAAATGGACGACGGGTCTAATACGAAAACCACGAAAAAAATGTCCCAAGTCAACCTATTCGAAATTTAAATTGTAATGTCATCGCAGTATCGCGCTGTCAGTAGAACAAATGAAGACTAAAGCGGAGTGTCGCGCTCTGTATACGATTTTAGCGCCTTACAAGTGCGGACACTTTTTAGCGCGGACCCGACGTCCATATACTTGTAAGTCAATGGTATGGCCTTTATTTATTTCTCTCGTGAGTTTGGGTGTAATTTGCGGTTGTCTATGTGTGTGTCCATGGTACCC